GTAGAGGAAGAGCCTCTCGGGCACAACGCTCTGTGTGCCAGGTCCAACTCCAATTTTTGCGATATTGGGGGCCCCAAGCACGGTATTAAACAGTGTTTGCAGTTTGGACTGGAGAACTTCCGGCCCGTCTGCTTCTGGTAGCCCTTTAATTTTCAGGTTATTTCTTCTACCTCTAGTATCAAGGTCTTCCACTCTGCGTTGTAATTCCCGGATCTTAAAGGAGTGGTCGACATGCTGAGATTGTAGCTTATGGACCTCTATTTTAGTTGTCTGAAGATCTTCCTCTACATCCGTCACCTGTTGGGCCAATTGCGAAGAGATTGTATTTCTGTTTTACATGTTGTTCTGACTTCCTGTATTAGGAGCCTGAAATCTTTCTTTGTGGGAACGTGTTTAATGTATTCCCTCCAAGAAGAGTATTCCACTTCATCTGGTTCTGAAGAAGATTGGGCGTCAGCTATTTCCTCATTATGGCGAGGAGCAGATATCTCAGGAACGTCTTGCTTTTGGGCAGATTGCAAAGGCACGGTCTGTATTGGTGCTTGTATATGTTGTGCCTCTAGGTGGCGCTGTGGTATCGTATGTGGAGAGCCAGGTTGGTCTTGTAGGTCCAAGTGTGTGCTCTGATGGGCTGGGGGACCTTGTTTATTTGAGCCCCCGGCTTTATAGCCTCTTTGCGGCCTAGGCGTGTTGCCCGGTGGAAGGGCCCATGATTGTGGGGTCCAGATGGGGGGGTGCCCCGGAGTGGTATCAGATCTTCCGGGCTCATAGGGATGGCACCCACTCCCCCTCCTAGCTGATCTAGCTCGGGTGGTCATTTAACCCCAATGTGGGTAGGCGATGGCCACACTGAGTCTCTCCCACCACAGCCCAAGTACTCACTCCGTCCTCCGATTAACCCCCCGATTCTCGGTGCCCCGATGGGGACCCGTACCACTGCAACATCGGGGTTCCCGACGAGTCCGTAGAGGGAGACCCCTACAGGTACGATCCCTCCTGTGGGTGTTGAGAGTGTGCCGCCGCATTCGGCCATCCACGAGGAGTCCTCCAAAAACTATCTATGTTTATCTATGTGACAGACTGCCTGATACCCCGACTGGATATCTCCGTCTTAAGCCTGTTCCTTGGGTGCTGGAACCAGAAGCCAGTGACTGTGGCATAGGAGGCTTACCCCAGGAATCAGACAATACTGACTTTGGAGTGAAACATGAACTACTTTATTGAAGAAGAGCTCACAGAGTTTATACCTCACAGAATCAGATAAGCATTCATTGTTACATCGAACAGTTTCCTCCCCTAGACAGCCAGGTGCCGCATTGGATTGTATTAATTAGAGAAGAGCTTAATCCCATCACTCTAAACAATGGCCCCTCCAGACAGCCTGCTGCCTTTAGAAAAATGGTTCACATCAAGTCAAATAGTGACCAGCTCTCCCCAGATAAAATATTAAACTGGAAAACACACAAAGTTCTCTGCGGTAATAAATCTCTGCAGCCCTAGGTCCGTCACAATGCTTCCCCCTGTTCCATAGTCCGGCAGACCCGGCTAGATCCACCACGGGTCAGCTTGGGGCTGTCCGGGAGCATGAGGCTTCATTCACAAGTCAGTTTGCCGGGAAAGACTGTCTGCATTGCCGTTCTGATTTCCCAGCCGGTACTGAATAGTAAAATTGTAGGGCCGCAGGGCAAGACTCCACCGCGACAAACATCCATTAATGCCAGAGACTCCATTCAGCCAAACTAAAGGATTGTGGTCGGTGAGCACCGTGAAGGATCTTCCATACAGATAAGGCTGCTGGAGACTGATCTGTCCCTTGTGATCTTGTACTGGACAGTAAGTTCAGGGAAGCAGAGCTGAGAGAGTTGGAGCCAGCTGTTAGAAACATGATTACTGTAGGGCTCCGTTCACACCTAGGTGTTTTGTCATGCATATTTGTCTGCACTGAAATGGTGAAGTCAAGAAATCCCATTTATTTCTGTAGCCCCTGTTCACATCTGAGCGCAGTGTCGCACATAGCAAAAACGCCTGCTCACAAAAGCGCGAAACTTAATATACATGTGGAAAAGTGCCGAGAATGTGCACAAAACAGTGTCGCCTAGGTGTGAATGACGCCTAAGGGCTTGGGTAAAAATGTAAAGAAATACTTTGCTGGGCTATGTATATTTGTTTGATCTGGATTAATTATTGAAAATAGTTTGATAGTTTAATACTATTTCCGATTTAAGCGCAGCACAGATGAAGTCTGCAGGAAGTTAGGAGCTCTCTTGATCCCTAACACACCTTTTTTATACTTATTTAATAGATACAAATAAAAGCTTTCAATAGTATATTTATTATATGTGTATATATTATGTTTATGATACCATACATTGTTAGGGTTTACATGCATTACAATAAATCTTAGAGGGTTATTTGCTAAGGAGCCAAAGGATCTAGCTGTAGCTTTGGCTCACTTCGGCCGCCGGAGCCGGCTATGACGTCACGGTCGACTCCGCCCATTTGTTTTGATTTGGTCTGATCGGGATGTAACAGGTGCTGACAAATGTAAACAGTTGGGCAGAGCTTAGCTCCGCCCAATTGTTCATATTTTGCCGTCATCTATCAGATTGTTATTTCGCGCGGGAGTTAGTTGCATGCGGTCGGGTCGGTGGGCGTCTTTTTTTTATCCGCTCAGTCGTCGTCGTCGTGGACAACGCTGAACATCATGATTGGCCTTAGGATGAGGTTGGATCAATGTTTTGGATTTTTTTTTAAGATAAACGAATTGTCAAAATTCTTTGTTGTTTTTATTTCTATTAAAGGATTTTTTCAAAAGTGTGGGCTCTTTATTTAAATTTTGATTTAACCCTTTAGTGAATGGGTAGGGGTACAAGTATCCCTTACTCATTACTCTTTTTTTTTCTTTACATTTTTTAATTATTTTCTTAACTTTTTTCTATTTTTATTTTTTTAACATTTATTTAATTAATTTTTTATCTTTTTTTTTCACATTTTTTTTATACTGCTCGCCTTGGAGGTAGTGAGCAGAATTGTCAAGCCAAAAGCCGCTCAACGTCATTCGGCTATTCACTCACTGCCATTCAGCCCCAGGCTGTGATTTGTAGTGTCTTTAGAGCTTGGAATACAAATCCCAGCAACAAATTACACAGCAATGCAGAATACTGCCAACTATAGAGGACTACAAATCTCAGCAATACATTATAAAGCAATGCATAATGGCACGGCTATAGAGGACTTCAAATCTCAGCAATACATTTTTAAGCACTGCAGAATAATACCATCAGTTATAGAGGACTACAAATCCCAGCCATACTTTATACAGCAATGCAGAATACTATGAAGCTACATACTCTGTGTTGCTCCGGGTTCATGGCCTCATGTCTCCAGTGTTTTAGGAGGGCTGCGCCGGGTTTCAGAGGGGGGGGGGCTGTGTAGGCTCTCAGGAGGCTGTTCAGGCTCGAAGGTTGCCAGGTGGGCACTAAGAGGGCCAGTGCAGGCTCTCTGGTGGCCAGTGTGGGCTCTCAGGGGGCCAGTTCAGCTCTCTGGGGGTCAGTACGGCCTCTTGGGTGGTCAGTAGAGGCTCTTAGACGGTCAGTACGGCTCCTAGTGGTCACTGCAGGCTTTGGGCAGTCAGTGCAGCCTCTGGGTGCTCAACATGGTGGTCAGTGTGGGCTTTGGGTGGTCAGTGCGGTCAGCATTGGCTCTGGGTGGTCAGTACGGGTTCTGGGTGGTAAGTGCACGCTCTGGGTGGTCAGTAGGGGCTCCAGGTGGTCAGTGCAGGCTCCGGGTGGTCAGTGCAGGCTCTGGGTAGTTAGTCAGGGCTCCGGGTGGTCAGTGCAGGCTCTGAGTGGTCAGTAGGGGCTCTTAGTGGTCAGTTTGGGCTCTAGGTGGTCAGTGCAGGCTTTGGGCGGTCAGTGCAGGCTCTGGGTGCTCAGAGTGATGGTCAGTGTGGGCTTTGGGTAGTCAGTGCAGGCTCTGGGTGGTCCACAGGGGCTCTGGGTGGTCAGTACAGGTTTCGGGTGGTAAGTGTGGGCTCTGGGTGGTCAGTAGGGGCTCCAGGTGGTTAGTGCAGGCTCCTGGTGGTCAGTGTGTGTTCTGGGTGGTCAGTGCGGGTTCCGGGTAGTCAGTGCGTGCTCTGGGTGGTCAGTGCTGGCTCTAGATGGTCAGTAGGGGCTCTGAGTGGTCAGTATGGGCTCTGGGTGGTCAATGCTGGCTCTGGGTGGTCAGTGCGAGCTCTGGGTGGTCAGTGCATGCTCTGGGTGGTCAGTAGGGGCTCTGGGTGGTCTGTGCAGGCTTTGAGGGGCCAGTGCGTGCTCTGGGTGGTCAGTAGGAGCTTTGGGTGGTCAGTGCTGGCATGAGAGGCCCCAGCGAGCAGCCCTCTAATATGCCTCTATTCAGGCATTTTAGAGGGCCGCTCACTTGGCCTTCAGTGAGCGGCCAAGGTGCTAGTGAGGCACGAGTGGGCCTCTAATATGCCTGAATAGAGTACCGCCACTGCCTGATTGCGGCCGGTCACTGACCCAGAAACCGAGGCGATCCGTGTCGGCCAGGCTTATTTGCAGGGGTGGGCCTGGAGCGGCAGTGGCGTTAATCCGGCCCTGCCCAGAGGAAACCACAGGCAAACTTCTTGCAGATAGTGTTCTGACTGGGATTTGAAATGGGGACCCTCAGTTGTGCAAGGCAGAAGTGCTAACCACTATGCTACCAAACAATGCTTTGGTCTGTAATAATTTTAAAAACACAAGTGTTACTATAGAAACAAAGAAAAAAATCAATGAATTGATTCTTTACAGTTATCACAACACTAAACTTGTTTCTGGTACAAAAAAACCTGGCAAAAAGTTACTTACAAATTACATAAGGATTTTAAAAAATTCATGTTGTTTTTAACTATAAAAACAAACAAAATACATTAATTTGATAAAATTAATTAAAAAAGTATCAAATGGTTTAGGGGAAAAAGTAATTCTATGTTTTAACTACTTTTTTATGTTTTTATGTTCAGGAATGATTACTGCTATTGGTTTATCCAATCTGCAATTTGTAGATATGAACTCAGCAAGAAATTTATTCGTCTTGGGTTTTTCCCTATTTTTTGGATTAGTTCTACCAAATTACTTGGATGCAAATCCTAACTGTATTCAGACAGGTTAGTTAAATGTAAATTTTGTTTTAAGGAAAAGTTCAGTGTGTTTTCTGTGCACATGTTCAGTTATTTTTTAATGTATATTATTTACAACCCCAATTCCCAAAAAGTTGGGACGCTGTGTAAAATCTAAAAAAAAAAACAGAATACAATGATTTGCAAATCTCAAAAAATCCATATTTTATAAACAATAGAAAGTAGAAAACATATCAAATGTTTAAACTTAGAAAATTTACCATTTTAAGAAAGAAATAAGGTAACTTTGAAATTGATGACAGCAACCTGTCTCGAAAAAGTTGACAAAGTAAGTGGTACTAACAAGTAGTATACGAACAGACCCCACTATCCAGAAAACTCCAATACTGCAGACTTTATTGAAATTCACAGCAAATCCAGTATAATAGTGAATAAAAGTGTATAAAGCAACAAATGCCAGCACTGCACACCCCCAACCAGCTACAACCTCTCACATGTTTCAACCGTAGGCTTTTTCATAGAGGCCTGGCATGTGCAGTGCTTGCATCTGTTGCTTTATATACTTTTATTCACTGTTATACTTGATTTGCTGTGAATTTCAATAATGTCTGAAGTATTGGAATTCTCTGGATAGTGCGGTCTGTTCATATACTACAACATTCCAAGGTGGAGACGCACCTATTGGACCAGCACCTGGGGAGTCCTGATGGTGGCTAAGGAATTGGAGTGGTGAGATTACCTTTGGTACTAACAAGTGTCACAATGTCCAGCATTCCATGCCAGATTTCCATGTTGGTCCCTGGTGCTTGGCTGTAAGCCTATGGTATTCCACAGGGCTGCAGCCAATCTGCACACCTCCTCCCCTATTTACCACTCTTTCACTTGTTGCTTTTCGTTCGTGCAACAAGTCTTCTTTCTTGTGTCGGACCCTTGTGTTTCCCGTGATCTTCTGTGCTAGTATACCTTTTTGGAGCTCTGCTTTGTGCTGATTCTCCTGTGTCTGTGATCTCCCTGTTGGCTATTGCCCTTTGCTTGTGATCTCCCTGTTGGCTATGTGTTCCCATTGGTTGTAGTTCCTGTGTGCTGGTCCTACCCTGTTTGTACATTTTCCCGCACCATCTCTGTGCTCTCTTCTGTGTGCCTGTACTTAGCACCTTCCCCTGTACAGATATCTCTGTATGCCTTAGGCTGCGTTCACACCTGACCGTTTTGTAGCGCGTCCTACGCTCGACGAACGCGCTACAAAACGGTCAAAAAAATAAATAGCATTGTAGTCAATGCCCTCGTTCCCACCTAGGCGTATTTCCGCCCGTCCCTAACGCCCTACAAAACGGCCCACGCCTGAAAAGGTCCCGGGACTACTTTGGGCCGTTTTGTAGGGCGTTTTCCATTGGGATACAGCCAAGTAGCCTTTGGAATCGCGTGGCGGTCGCGCGACTTTTTTACCGCGAATCGCGGTAAAAAAACCGCGTGACGGTCACGCGACAGACGCGCATATTACAATACGCCTAGGTGTGAATGGGGCCTTAGTCTCTGGCCTATTCACACTCCCAATGTGTGCTGTGATTCTCTGTGCTCCCTGTGAGATCCTGCTGTCCTGCTAGTGGATGGTTATCCTCTAGGCTCTCCTATGTGAGCCACTGCACCTGCCCTTACGTGTGTCTTTTCTCTTGTGTGGCTGCTTGTTCCATGCAGCCTTGCTCTTGGGCCCCCCCCATCATGCAGGGGGGGTGTGGTGGGGGGCCCAAGAAAATGTTTGCCAGGGGTCCAATCAATATTAAAGACGGCCCTGCCTCTCCTATGTGAGCCACTGCACCTGTCCTTACGTGTGTCTGTTCTATTGTGTGGCTGCTTGTTCCATGCAGCCTTGCTCTTCGGTGTATCCTGGATATCTCTGTTTTGTGGTTTGCCTCCTGCTCTGACTTCCTGTGGTTATTTTTCACTGCACTATAGTGCACCTTTCTCCTGTACATTCCCCTCCACTGTTCCTGTGGGTACACTTGTGTGTTCCACTGAGGTCGTGTACACTGAGGTCGCACTGTGTCCCAGGCTGTCAGCTCTCCAACGTCCCGTCTCCAGAGCGCCTCATAGTAAGTCCTCCTGGCTGCTGTGTTCACTAGAGGGTCGTATTTCTCTGTTTCTGATCCCTCTCTGCCTCAAGCTGCGGGGGGGAGGGGGGTTCTAGTGTGTCTCTCAGCACCTCAGCACATGGGATGGGGGGGGTCATCCCATTCAACACATTGCCTCAATCATATGCTGCTCTGTACTATACATAAAATACACATAACATTACTAGAAAAGATTTCTACACCATCAACCATTATTCTATATCTCACAGCACTCACAAATGCTGCTTTTATGCCGCATAATCCTGTCCACATAGATTTAATTTTACACAACTGACCTACAACATTTTATTTAGGAATAAAAAATGCTTCACTTTTAACTTCCACTCCCTTAAAAAAAAATTAAAAAATAGCACAATATGACTGTTTGGCCATCATGATGCCACAGCGCATTCCATACCCACTAAACCACGTTAAAAGAAAATACATTTTCAACGTTCACGCCATCCACCTACCTTCATCTCATAGTCCCATGACATGAACGCACTTCACCACTTAATTGGACCCTCCCCACACAGTGTAATTGCCCGCACTCTAATGCATGCTACCACAATGTAACTGAGTTCCACTGAGGTGCAATTGCATGCACTATTTCTCCTAATTGCATCACACCAATGCACAGCCCTCCTGTCACCCCCGCAGCCCTCCTGACACCCCACAAGCTCTTCTGAGACCACCTATAGACCTCCTGACATCCTGCACAACCCTCCTAAGGCTCCACAAAGCTCTCTTGACACCCCACAGTTCTCCTGAGACTCTGCACATCCCTCCTGAGATCCCGCACAGCCCTCCTGAGAACCAGCACAGCTCTTCTTAGACCCTACAAAGTTCTCCTGAGACCCAACACAGCCCTCCTGAGGCCCTACACAGTCATCCTGAGACCCTACACAGTCCCCCTGTCTAGAGTTGAGAGTTATGCAGAAGGCTAACATTTGTAAAGGAAAAGTAATGAATGAGGTTCTATGCCAAATATGTTTTAACATTTCTACTATGTTTATTTTACAGGTTTGCCAGAACTGGATCAGATATTGACTGTGCTTTTAACAACAGAAATGTTTGTAGGAGGCTGTATAGCATTTTTCCTAGACAATACCATCCCAGGTACAGTAGTAAAAGAAAGCTTTATCTGTCCCTAAAAAAAGATACAAAATTAATTTCAGTACAGCGTTGCATGACTGAATAAATGTCAGTCAAAGTACTCCAGCACTGAATACTGAAAAATTGCCTAGTCAGGAAGGGGGTTTAACACCCAGGTCTTCAAGTGGTTAAAGGAGAACTATGAGGCGAGTGAAAATCACTCAGCCCCATAGTTCTAGCTGACCTGGGACAATGAAACAGCTCAATAGATCGGGAAGTGAGCGAACACATACCGTCGTTCGCTCACTTCTCGATCTATCCCTGCAGAGAGCCGTGACTGTCACTCACGGCTCCCTGCAGGGATTCCCCCCTCCTCGTCCGATCCTCCAGAGCTGACTGGCGGAACGGACGGGGGAGGGGGCGGGTACAGCTGGCTCTGCCTCTAGATAGGCAGAACCAGCTGTCAATCACGCAGCTGGGTGGATCTCGACAGTGATGTCGGGATCCGTCCAGGCTGCGGCGTCTCAGTAAACTGCGAGCTGTAGCTCGCAATATACTGAGCCTTGGGTGACGGGAGGAAGCTAGTTTGTGTCCTCCCATTACCCTTAGGAGAACTATGGGGAAAAGCACTGACCCCCATAGTTCTCCTTTAAGCAAAATATGCTGTCCAAGCAAACAGCTTCCCTTCCTGTTAGAAAATAGAAGCCCCAAGATTCACTTGAAATAACTGACCCAACTAGGCTATTAAAAGGTTAAAGATCAGTAAACAGGAACTTAATGTTTTCATTATTCAAATGGAGCTAAACATTTTATTTTTTTGCAGGTACACAAAAAGAACGTGGACTTGTGCAGTGGAAGGAAGGAGCCAATGCTAACAGCGACACATGTATAGATCTCAGAAGCTACGACTTTCCATGTGGAATGGCAGGTGTTAGGCGAATACAGTGCTTCCGCTGGATTCCTATCTGTCCAGCTTTTAAAGGGTTTAAGAGTACAGCACCTAAAACTGCTATTACAACAACCATGATCTATAACAACATTGATTGTCAGGATGAAACAAACAATCCAGTGTGCACAAAAGTGTAAAACCAATTAGTTTAAACATGTTTGTACCTAAGAATGTTTTTCAAGAGAAGGCCATTTCCAAACTGTGATTTATGTTTTGTTTTTTTTTAATCACTCAAATTTGGTTATAAGATCATGCAGTAAAAATGTGGAACAGAAGGAACAGGAACTTTGCTATTAAAAAGAAGTAGCATAGTCTTGTATGTACAGTTCTATGAAAAAATATGTGTCTCATATTTTACCATTATTCTTTTTTTTTACATTTAAATTGATTATACTTTTTGTAATTTAAAGTAGTACATTAAAGGAGTGCTAGAGTTGAACAAAAAATACATGCACAAGTAATAGCTTCTTCACTGTCAGCAAATTTGACAGCAACCACTGACCAGAATTGTACATCACTGTGAAAAGTTAATGACACAATCCTCCACCCACAACTGCCAGAGCTCAGCTGCATTCACCAGGTTCCTAAGCTTAAACAAATGAATCTGTTGTCACCTCATAATTGAAATCATATCTGAACTTTGTCTAGGCCAGTCTGTGTATTTATTACTGCTTGTTTCAGCTGTTCTAGTTTTTTGGGCACGAAGAGAGATTTCTAGCTACTTCAGTATGTTGGAAAGCTGATGTGGGTATGACTCTTACCTGTTCAATTGTGCTAAACACATGGCTGATCCTTTCTTATTTTATTAAAAAACATAAACAAGGAAACAAGAAATTACATCATAACCATGTATTTCCACTACGAAGAACATTACATTACACAAAAACATTACAACATAGTGGCAGAACTACATATA